ATATATATTTATATTCACCTCCACATATATTATACACCTGAGTAATAGATAGATTATCTGACAGTTTGACAAGTATAGGCGCGACAGAAAACGGTAAGATATGTACAGTTATATAATATAGTTGAAGAAAATTAGTACAGTCCCGTATTATATACGTTTTGGCAACATTTCATAGTCAATTGTTAAAAAATCTCTTGACTATCATCAACAGATTTGGTTGGCCATTCTTGAGAGTTCCCAAAGTTATAACCGTCATACATGTAAGATATTAATGCTCCATATCAGTTCTATAAGAGTGTGTACATGAAACTCCAATCTGAGTAAAATATATTTTTAATTCATACAACAACGAGGAATTAATTCTGCTCTGATAATTTTCATAGAATGTTATTAATATTAATTTTTCTTTTTGTTCGAACATTTGTTTGAGTCATGTATAAGAAATATTTGCTTATCAATTTGAGCATTTCACTCGGTCTAAAAACAGTATTTATAACCGTTATTTTGAAGTTGTGAGTGATGTCAGTGGTAAGCTGCCTTGAAATGTTGATCCATATAGATTACAGCTTATTTTTAAAACTATATAAGATAGGTGCTCCAATATGTCCCAATTAGAAGAGTCTATCAGTAAAACCTACTATGCAATTTGTTGAGTTTTTTGATTGATTATATATGTACATGTAGGCAATAATCAATTATAAATGTAGTTGATCCAAATCAGAAAATACTTTAATCTATCACTACAGAATTTTATTTGCAAATTAATATCAAGTTTAGTTTTCATAAAAATCAAATGAAAAGGAACTGAATCTCTCATTATGAATACGTGGATTGCGAATTTCCGGAATCACTCGCCTCAGTCGTCAACCTAACTGATTAAAGTCCAATAATCGATCATTTATTACAGTAATTTGGGGACTTTGGCTAGTCGCATGAGTAACCCTTGTTGGCACTCTATTTCACAAAAATGTCCAAAATATATATGTTTTTAGTTTATTATACCTTAGTTATCTAGTTGCGGGGGAAACACATAATCCACGCGTGAGCATGGCCTATATTATTTATTACTACAGCTTATTAGTTTAAATTTTGATAAACGTGGCACGTTCTCAACTATGACACGCACACACACACACACACATCATAAAGTTGATGTTGCTGCCGTTCTTGGGTTATGCTAATTTGGGCACAGCTTGAACCAGGACCCAAACAGCGCTGGGCTGCTTTCTTAAATTCAAATGAAACAATGTGAATGCCTAGGCGAGATGTCGTCGAAAACGAAAATCAAATTTATGGTCTTAACAAGCGCTGTCAAAATGCGAGAATTGAGTGCCAATGCGAGAAGCCCAGACAGAGACAGACATACAGACAGACAGACAGTTAGGCAGTCAGGCAGCCAAAAATGCATGCAGCTGCTGCTGCTGCGCTTCCTGCTCCTGCTACGACTTCTATGGCCCCTCCTGCTCCTACTGATGCTGCCTCGACATTTGCATCTCGCATATAAATCGCATTAGGAGCACGCAATTACAGAGTTTCGAACATGGAGCAGCACGTGGTTACGCCTAGGCACAGGCAGCTGTGCATCTTTCAGATTGCAGCACAACGATTCCACGCTTAATTGAAGGTAAAATTATGCACGTGCTATGTGTGTGTGTGTGTGTGTGGGTGTGTGAGTTTGGCACAGATTTGCGGCCCTGACACGGCACTGAGCAAGCACTGTCCAAGCTTCATTTGGACACCCAGCCCCACTTGAGATAAGGAAAAAGCAGACGCTTATCGCCATGCGAGTGGGTCGCAAAAACAAAACAAGAGAAACTACTTAAATGCGATTATTGTTAATATATGAACTTTAATTTACGCAATGTCAGATGCGCATTGTAAATACATTGCAAGTCAAGGATAACGAAATGTGTGTAAAGGTTAATAATAATAATAACGGCAGCGACTGCTTATGGAGTGGGATGGCTTGGATGGATGAGGCACAATAATATCACATTGATCTAATACTTTAAGAAGAATAATACAAAGTGGAGGCCAAATTTTGACAGCTCATATCAAAATGGGACACTTGTACATGATGTTGATCTTGTCCTTATCCTTGTCGCTCAGGCCCAGGCGCTGTCCGATCACAGCTGTCGGGTCGAGCGGCACAATCGTGTCCTTGCCGTTGATGGAAAAGGCGCCGGGACGATAGTGCAAGCAGCTATTGTAGTCGTAGCCCACATCGAAGTCGGTGACGACTTTATCCGAGTACTTTTGGAAATTGAACTCCTTGCCGGGCACAATGTTCTCCGCGATGACCTCGATGTAGTCATCGCGCAGCGCCGAGCTCTGCTCGTGGTAGAAGCCCAGCGCATGCATCAGCTCGTGCAGCACGGTGCCGGGCCTGAAGCAGCCCTCGCCGATGGGATATATCTCCAGGTTCATTTGCTGCTGACCGCCAAGGTAGCCCACGGCCGTAAAGCAGCCGCCTGGTTGGGCCGTAATGCTCACATAGTCCACATCCTGTTCGTTGGCCTCACGGAAACGAATGCAGGTCGCCTCCTCGATCGTCTGCATGCCCTTCAGAATGGCCTGCCTGTGGGCGGCATCGAAGTCTGTGGAGATGCTGTACACGACCAGATTGCCGGGCCAACGTCTTGTGGTATCCAATAGACCGTTGCGACCCATGGGGCCATGCTCCAGCACCTGCCGTTGTCTCTCCGTCAACTGCATGTCACCCTCCGCATAGCCCGCCGACTCCTCGGGATCGGCTTGAAGCTTCCAGGGCAGCGGCATGCCCCCGCACCGCAGTAGCTGAACGGACAGCAATAACAGAAGCACTGCTCGAGGGGATTGCATCTTGTTCGCGACGTTGCTAAATTCTAACTGACGCATGTGCGCCGTTCCAACTGGACATAAATATGCGGCAATCACAAGTTGTGTCCGATGATTAGATACAGGCAATCGATTGCGCTTAGATAATGCCGCTGGACACCTCTATAAGCGGGCTTAACGAAATCGCCAATGCGATTGCCAGATTTCGAGAGGGTTCCCCTGACTTTTCATAATAAATTATGGATTGTTGCAGGGCATGCGTTGTGTAAATGCTTTCATTTGTAATGGATTTAACGTATTATAATTAATCAAAACTCATTTTGACATTCGTTTAATAAATCAATTTTAAGCAAAATAGATTAAAGTGAAAAATATATTTCAGAGACCCAAAATATGTCAAAGAAAACCATACTTGAAGATATGGCCTAGGGTAATTGATATTCTATATCCAATATGCATCCTCAACTCTCTCTACCTCATTTTCTCTCTCTTGACTATATCAACTCAAGAGATAGTTCCATTGAGCTATAGTAACTTACGTCGATAATTCTCTCATAATCATTTATGACTAAACTAAAGAGAGACTATTAAGAGCATACGTAGGTGACTCTTCTTCTTTTTGCGAACTAGTGGCGCCTAGGCAGCTCATCATTATTAATACAAAGAGTCTTCTTTCCATTTCTCACCCACTCCCCTGCCTACGTCACTGGCAAATCAGCATTATTAATGCCATGGGCTAATTGAAATGGTATCTTTATTATCAATGGTCTGATTGGATTTTCAAGTGGTCGACAAGCTGAAACAGATATTAGATTCACTTACTGCACACTAAATAGGATGAGTAATTGCGACGAATGCTTCTGTTATAGTCCAAGTTTCAGATACGAAAACACGCGTAATCGCCCAACTGAACAAGCGAACGATTGTCTTGAATGACCGCTTATCAGCAGCATTTACACGGCTATAAGCGAGCGGGATAGCTAGCAGGGCAGGAGCGGGGAGAGGGGAACAGAAAGGGACGACAAGCTGTTCAGGCTTTTTGTAGCTGTTCGCGCTTTTTATACTACGGAAGCCGATGACATTATAAGAAATGACGACATTTGTCCACACACAAATCCAAAGTTCTATTTTGAGCTTATCGCTCAAATTCGGATTCGAGATTTCTTAACTCGCTCTTTATAAAGATAGTTAGTAGAACGTGTCATAGTGATTAAAAGCTATAAACATATTTTAAAAGTAGTTAGATAACAATTTCGTGTTATCTCAGATTTTTGCACTCATTTATTATTTATTACTCTATTTTGTTGAGTGAATGAAGCACCCTGTGCTCTACCGCTGTTGCATTCTTTTAGGAGTCTTCACGAAACAGGGATCCTCATGTTTTCAGGTTTGTTTAGTTGCTAGAAAACACAGCTAATGGATTATACATCACATTATATGTATAGATAGATCTTTATACTACATAGTTCATACATGGTATATTGTTTATATCTCTCATTTGCATTCGCTGTCTCATTTTCTTCATGGGTGAATTTTTTCGATGGAGATCTGCGGATGATATAAACCGATTTTCACGATTTTTCACAAGCCGATATGATGTTGATTTATTATTATTGAATTACAATGTATTAGTAGGCAGTGCGATTGGGTTCGCGATCTGATAATCATATCACCTTCGCTATAGCCAGCTGTCAGCTCCGGGTGGATTTATGTGTCCGCTGCTGGTACAGGTGTAAGTGCTGGCGCTGCACTATCACGAGATATCAAAAGGATTAAGCGGATTATTATTAAGTACTGCCTCATGCTCGTTGAACGGACTTAGTTGAAATTCAGTAAGTAATTCAGTAATTTGTTTTATTGCAAATATTTACAATATGCACATTGTGTATAGCCAATAGATTTTATCTTATCAGCTCAATTCAATTCAGCTAACCCTATGAATTGGACTGCCACAGACTTCGCATAAACTTGGCAAAAGCTAAATTGATCAAGAGCTGTGAATTTGTAATTGTGGAAGGACTCACACTTTTCTTGGACAAGCTTTTCTCGGACAATTGTACATATTATTTAACTTGTTAATATCGGCATCGCTCATTTGAAGTCGCTGTCCCATTATTTCCTCGGCGCCCTCGACGAGCGGCATAATGGTCATTTTACCATTCTTCGAGAATGCCGTGGAGCCGTAGTGCATGACGCTGCCGTAGTCGTATTCCTCGTCGAAATCGTCCACTGTCTCTTTGTCGTACTTGTTGAAGTTTCTCTCTTTACCGTCTTGAATGTTCTCCTTGTCGATTCGAACGTATTCATCCCGATTCCACGTGCTTTGCTGATGGTAGAAGCCCAAGGCGTGCATAAATTCATGCACAATGCTGCCTAGACGGAAGCAGCCGGTGCCTAGCGCATAATTCTGTAAATTCAACTGTTGTACCTGGTTTCGGTAGCCCACGTAGGAATAGCAACCGCCGGGCTCCGAGGTAACATTCACATAGTAAGGCTGATCGCTTGCGGCTTCCTTGAAGATGATACATGAATTCGCCTCAATAACGCGAATACCTCGAAGAATGTAATTACGATGTTCCTGATCTAGAAAAGGTAATACCAATTACAACAAAATTCATCTCTAAGAGTTAAAGATCAATCGCACCAATGTAGCTATTTATGAAATAATAGACAATGCGATTGGGCCAGCGATAAGCTTTTTTGATCAATCCATTTCTGTCCTCGTTCAGGATCATATCGCCCTCTGTATAGCCAGGCGTCAGCTCGGGATCAAGTTCAACTCCAGCTGCCGGTGCTTCAGGTGCTGCCGGTGCTGCATAGCAGCTCTTCATCAACACAAGGATTATAAATATTTTAAGAAAGCTCCACATGTTAACAACCGGATGCATTATTAGCGACTGTTTCGTTATTTTTCCCACGCCTTTATAAATAGACTGAGAACCTCATTAACCCTTCGTTTATGGCATTCATTAAGCAATTCGAAATTTACAACTAATTTTTAGTTGGAAATAGCCTAATCTAATCGAAAATTAATATCATTTAAGACTCGCACACAGGCATAAACATGTATGGGTGAGGAAGCGTTTATGATCATTGTAAAGTACTTAATGCAATAATATTTAGAATTTTACTTGAGATTCTCTTTAGAAAAAGAAGTTTTTGCAATAGCCCACAGTATGGCAATTGCATCAATCACATCAATCAATCAAATGTTTGTTAACGCATTAAAAACTCAAGTTTCAAGATTGTTAGTTATAGTTTGGTTTCCCTGTAGTGCGAATGTCAGCGAAATGAAAACATCTGTCCCATTCACATATACATATCGAAATCAAAGTTCTATTTTGGGCTTATCATTCAAATTCAGCATCGAGATTTGCTAACGTGTTATAGCTATTGAAAGTAGATCGATAACGATTTCATATATATATATATTTTTTTTTTATACCCTGAACCCATTGAAAATGGGAAATCAGGGTATAATGGTTTTGTTGAAATGTATGTAACAG